CAGTCTATGTATGACTGATTCAGGATTGAAAAAAAATGATGATTATGATGAATATTTAAAAAACTGCACTTGAGGCATCTTTAATCAAAATCACCAAATGTGTATATGTGTGACTTGATGTATGATGCATACCGGCATATAAAGTTTCAACAGTCAGGGGCTGTCAGAGATATAGTTCTGGAGCAGCATTCATTAAAATAAAATGACCGCCACTTAGCCATTTTTAATGTTTGAATGGGATTGGTAACACACAACTACGATCCAGATCTGGAATTGCAGAAATGTATGATTTTTTTTGAATTTTTAACATTAATACATTTGGCAATTTTGAATTGATTATAAAATAATGCACATGCGACATGATGTATGACATATATAAAGTTTAAACATGATAGTCAGACATATGGCCAATCAATCGATACACATACAAGATTCGGTTCTGGAATGACAGAAATGCTTGGTTTTGATTTAGAAAAAAAGAGCTGCAAAGTTCTCATTTTTGGATTTTGTCCGAATGGATAGTAATATATTGTGGATAAGTACAAGAAGTGGAGAGAAAGAAAGCCGTAAACACTATTAAATCGCTACCCATCAATTCAATTTTACTTTCATTACTCTGGTATTTATATACCAGATATAGAGTAAACATGGCCAGAATATAATACAAAATAATAACAAGCAGCACTAGCCTGTCGACTGAGATAGCTCCGCTGTTGGCAATGCACATTTCCATTTAAGAACTGAAAACATCATTAGAAAATGAACAATATGTATAGTATCAATACAATGGAACTTGCTGTTTTCAAAATATGAAAATAACACTTACCAAAAATATTGATCACAAAATGAACAAACCTGAGAGAGGTCTGCCTGAGGTATCTATATGTATAGCATCAAAGCAACCAGACTTGCGGTTTTTAACAAGAAGTCAAAAATATCACTATTTACCAAAAACATTCATCAAAATTAGATTATTAAAGATATCATCACGAAGTGAGCAAATCTGAGAGGTCTACCTGTAGTACATATACACCAAGTATCAAAACAATAAACTCTTGTAATTTTTAAAAAGTCGAAAAAGTAAAAAGTTGACATGGACGGTGGCGGACACTCACTCTTATGATAAGCTCCGCTCGACTAAGTAAAGAGTGGAGCTAATAAATGACTAATTCTGGTCTCCTGTGAGAAATCAGAACTCAGTTTAAAGGCAAGTTGAATGTTCTCAGGGTAAGTTTTATTTTGACAAAATCTATTGGCATGACCTACTTGCTCACAATAAAACTATTCACAAAGGCAATATTCTCCATCAAAAATCATGATGTCACTATGTTGGTATTTGGAGAGAGTGAGACTATGAAATATACATATGTATCAACCAATGGACTATGCATACAAATACACCATTGGATTTTAGACATATGGTGAACATATTATACAAGACAAAAAGATAAATTATAACCTTTTTTTTTATTATATTAAATTGACTATATGGAAGATGAAGACTGAGCAAAGAAATCCATACAAAGAATGAAGTTGATATAATGAAATAATAATACAAACTATGCAAATCAAAGATTTAGTAAGTTAAGTTTTAGATGAAATGTACAATATTGATGAGAAAAGAAATACATTAATATTGATTAAATTGAATTACTTCAGCCATCTACACTACTGAGTGTCTGGCTGTAGAGTTGTCTGTACTTAATTACAAGGCATAAACATTTAACATTTTTTTTACCATAATTTGCACTTATAAATGTAATACCATAACTATATAAGGATATGGCATAGACTGTATGCATGATTAATATGTAGAAAATTTGGACATTCTCAAGTTTTAGTACCGGTAATCAATAAATTTATTTTAAGTGGCTCATAAACAAAATCTCATCCCATTGAAAAATTATTTATAGTAGGCTACACACATTGCTTACTTGACATATTTGTAGAGATACTTTTACAATAAAAAAATCCTCTTTAAAAAAGTGAAATCAACATCAATGATAAAATTGTTGCCACTACTGTCACTATGCTTGAACTTTGAACAGTAAACAGCAGAATTAATGAGGATAGCAGCATCACAATTGTAGGGTCATATCGCAAGTACCGGTAGCTTCACTGCCAAAGATTTTGCTTTTGTGTATAGCATAATTACTAATGTATACATTGCATATGTTTACCAATGGATACGCTGTACATGTACCTGTTTGGATTTTCCATATTGGACATTGTTTTATATTACCGGTATATTCTATAAAGCTGAATACATCTGGTAAGAAACACATGACATACAGGGTAACATTATAAACATAATTACAAGCAATGATTCCAACCATAATGAAATTAAAATCAACATAGAAATGACACAGATTCACTGTATGGCTACTGCACATATGTGATAAGAAATTAAAAACCCATAAAATAAAATTAGTTTTTTAAGTAAATATCAATAAATCAAATGTTTGGAAACAACCAAAATTTAAAATTTACAAAAATGTCAAAATGGGTATATTGTCAAAACAGTTAACAGAAATACCTCAGCTACAGATAAAGTGAAATTCAGCAATTTTAAAGATGAGAATGATTACTCACAATCTGAATAAAATCAGGAGGCGACTCTGGTTGATTTTAACCTTTTCAACACCAGTTCCATCTTTTCATGATAAATTCACAGAAGATTGAGACATAAAATAGCCAAATTATTTCGAGTAAAAACTAAAAGTTGTCTTAAATTTTATCTGTTGGAGTTTGGGCGAAAAAGTCTGGTGGTGAAAAGGTTGAAATAAAAATGTGGTAAAGAATGCATCTATAACTGACCAAATACCCATACTAATTTTCTTCAGATATCATAATCAACCAATCAGCACTCTGGTTACAGTTTTCAAGATCTCATAATAAACAGCCTATCAGCATTCTGGTTACAATTTTCCAGAGTGACAGGCAGTCCATGATTGTTCCAGGTAGATCAATACCTTGCTGATATGATCACAGTTACACGCTATATGCCTCTTAACTATTGCAGATATAACTGAGAAATAACCAAAGCAAACAAAACAACCTGCACTTAACATTGTACATCTATAGAGAATGGTGATTTTGCACTAGTGCAGTCGCAGCATTCTCTATTCTTGTCGATTTTTATTTTTTCACTTGAATTAAATGAATTACATTTCTATAATTTATTTGAAATTTACTACATTTTTATTTCACTTATGTAACCCAAAATGGTAAGATGTCCATCAATCTAAACAAAGCCCTTCCCAGAACAACATGGTTTGCATAGATAATTGGTCAGGTGTAGATGTGGGTGGGTGGCAACTGACTAAGTACCTACATTTTGATTTTAATTAGAATGTGTCACTCATGAAACAAAACACATTTCCAAAAGTCCAATGTTTGAAAACAAATTTGCATACCGGTATTTTAAGCAAGTATATAAATGAGAAAACTATATAAACGCAAGGCAAGTTTTGTCACACTCACTGCATTAAGATGTACAGAATTAATTATATGGATGTACTATTGTTCATTTTAATTAAGTACAAGGCAGACATTGAATCCAACCTGCAGAAATCTAGTGCTCCCTATAAGAGCTACCCACAATGCAATGGGATGGGTCATGACAACCTACAAAGATCTTTGAATAAAAACACTAAACAAAAAAACCTCCCAAAAAATGGTGAGCAAAGTTAAGTAAACATAACCGAGAATAGATTTTAACAAAAAAATAACTTTTATATAACAATTTCCATATTTCTGGATGAGGATAAATTAATCTTATATGAATGTAGTTTTAAAATAAAAAACACTAAAAAAAATTTGTTGATAGGTGTACTATGAGTTACTATTTACCCAATCCCTACCAGTATATTGACTATTAGTTTGTAACTTCAAATTATCTTTCTTTAGCTTGTTGAATTTATGTATCAAGTGTTCTAGCAATTATCCACACTAATTTTTGTGTTTGTGTTCTACAAGAAAAATATTTTACTAAGAAATCTAGAGCCGTAATAGAAATTGATTAACTCTTTAGTAGTGCAATTTGTCACTTTGTTTTAAACATTCAAGATGGTTAAAAGTAGAGCAAACCATAGTTCTTATATGACTTATCTGCATAAACTGACAAGATTTTAAAAGTCACTGTGATTAATAAAATGTGTGATTTCCAAAGAGTTTTCATATGCTTGAAACATGAGATATTTAACGTGAATTAATACTCAAATATTTCTGATTCTGGGGTTTACATGTAATAGTTAATAGTCACATTGTTTTACAAGATTTTTGTCAAAATTTTCAAAGAAACAAAAGAAAAATAAGTTTCCATGCAAAGATCATATTCAATGACCAGAAACTTGTCTTCTTTTCTTCTGAACCAAAACTAAAAATATCCAAACTGAAATGTGAAACTTCTGCAAGAGGATAAATTATGAAGTATAATTTAGGACTTGTTCAGAAACTGTAAAATTGATTTTGATAAACAGCCCATTCAGTATTTACACATTTCAACCATGGACAATCAAGACATACAGATGTTACAGATTGTCCCTCACTCACGGAGTGAAAATACAACAAGTCACCCTAACTCTAAGTTGCATACAAGAAAACAATGATTACTGACTGAAATTGACTCTGATAAGTTGAATAGAAAACCACACAGACAATGTAAAGACAAGTAACATTCCAATTCACTATTAGATTAGATTTGTGCAAAAGCAGTGTTCTCCCCAGAGAAAAAAAAGTGACTAATGTGCTTCGTTTTTAGTTTAGATACTCAGTTTAGTATTAATAAAATAATTAATAGTTCTTTAAAAAAAATTGTAACATTATATTAAAAGCTGTTTCAATATACCTTACCCCCCCCCCCCCCCCGCAAAAAAAAAAAAACGATCCATGTAAATTCATTACACAAACTGCAATGCAAATGTGAAGTAGCGTTAAATTGATAACAAAATGCCTGTAGTAGGAGTTGTATCATTTTTTCCATCAAATAATTTGAGGTTACACATATTTTGACAGGCAGTATACATAGTCATAGTAAGTAAATGTGATTAGTGTTAAGCATGTTACACAACATTTACTGCTGCATCCTTGTTTTCCAGTGCGTTTAATGTTATACATCATACCGGCCAAGGTTATCAAGTTGATGCTACATTCTAGAATTAATTCAAAGTTCAATAGTTTCTGACTGATGTATATATATTTCCCAATTTATTTGATGCCTTGAACTGGTCTTGTCTTGTGAAGGTTCACAGTGTGACTTGCCTTCTGTCATCAGCTTGTTGAACATTTGGAGTTGATACATAAATACCTCTACGTTTCACTAGCAATGAATGCATTCATGGTAATCTCAAGGTGCCAATGTTGTTATAAACTGTGAACCATTAACATTTACATTTACATAAATGTGGTCTGCATTCACCTGTGTCAATGAAAATCTGGAGAGAACACTGCCAACATCACATGAAAACCCACAACAGGTACTGCAAACAGCATTACCATTAACTATCTTAAGATCACATTACAGAGTGTATTCACAGCATATTTACAGACAATTTACAACTATCAGGTTGTCTCATCCAGTGCCTGGAGAAATGCAGTCAGACTACATTAATACTACAAGAGTCCAATATCTCTGTATTTTTGCGTTCGTCTTAGTTCTAACTATCCATATCACTGTCTTGTAAGATCCTGACATGTGTGAATGGGAAAGTGCCAACTTTACCATTCAACTCTCCCCTCCATTGACCATTGATATTCTGTTCAAGCACCGTCAGTATAGCTCCAACCTAGTCAAACAAAATATATATTATTCGCTGAACAAGTGCTAATGAAATTCTCTTTTACTGACTGTAGAGTTAAGACTACTACCACGCTGCATTTGTACAATATTTGGAAGCCACCTTATATTTTATATTTTAAAGCGCCCTCTAGAGACAGATTAATTTGCTTTGTTGATTTGCATTATACAATTGTTTCACTTCACATGTGGTAGAACCAACAAAAATCAAAGCTTAGAAAGAACTCCCATGTGCTGAGAGTATTAGAGGCATTAAAAATTAATTCAAAATTTAAGATTAGCTTTTCAAACAATTAACTTGGGTACTAATATTTGTTTGCTATTTGAGATGTACATGAAAACAATGTGATCCACATTATTGAAGTTTATAATAGTAACCATTACATTAAAATAATCATGACTGTGGATTACCCGAGAGCATCAATGTATCAAATTTCAAGTTGCATTGAAATCTGATAATTGTTTCTTGAGATATCTGTGGAACATGCACACACACCTACGCACGCACACACGCACGCACACACACGCACGCACGCACACACATACACACACACACACACACACACACCACGAAGGGCTTCACACACAGGAGTCAAAAACTGACACTACTGTAATTGCTCCATAACAGTTTACTTCAGATCTACATCATTTTAGTGATTGAAAGCTATTATGACATGGCATTAAATTTTGAAAAAAGAAAGTAGTCTAGCATTTGCTAACTATGATCGTAATACACGCGACTGGCAACTTGCCACCAACTTTTCTTTTGTCACTGTTGTCTCTCCTGACTTTTCTTGTAAGTGCAAATTGCAAGTGCAAGTGATGACACAGTGTCTTTTTTGCCACAGAAGTCATTTCCATATTTATACTACATTACATGGGTGTGGTAGTCCTCTCTATCAAATGGCAATTTAATGCGCTATCCTGGCGTCAACCAGGCTTGATCAAACACAAGCACCTGCAGACCTCAGTCACATTTGTTAATGAATGAATCTTGGCTTGACTCACCTCCAACTTAAGGGCCTGGGGGTCATAAGCATTGGGTATTCTTTGCTGTGTAACAACTGCCTTGACAGGTCCATTATGAGGGACAATTGGCCTATATATGACTTCATTAGGATTTGCACACTGAAATACAACAAGAAATATAAAATATAAACATTTTATTCCTAACATTTGTTAATAATTTCTACCAAAACAAAAAGTGCCAAAAACAGCAGACAATTACTTAGCATAATGTTCATAGTCATTGCCAATTTTCAAGAATTTTCAGGACTACATATACCAGCATTATTCATGACCTGGTAGGTCAAAAAAGAAATACAGTAAAAACTCTATTAATTTGCTGCATGTCTATTAATTCACCCACCTATTTTATTTTCAAAAACTAATCATTATTTGTACCCTAATAATTCGCCATAAATACATAACTTGTTGTTTTCAGTATGCGTTTATCGTGTTCGCGTTACCGATTACCTTGAGTAGCTGTGATTCCTTCACTGACAACAATAAAGTTGTTTTGCTGGATAAATATATAGTCAATTAATATACATAGAGCAGTAAATATATATTGTGAATTTCTATTATAAGCGATAATATCGAAAGAGTGGGACAGTCACAGAGTTGAATCGGCATGCGTTAGCCATGTTGGAAAGTAAATTCACTATTAAATTGGCGAAAACAAGTTCAAATTGAACTGAACAAAATGTAACCTATTAATCACTCACCTGAAAAAAATAATTTCCATGTGTATCCTATTAATTCATTCACCGCAAACTAATAGAGTTTTTACGGTAATGGCTGTTCAAGTCATGCCGTAAAACATGATGGATATTACCTGTTTTGTGTGTGACTGCGAATATTGACGCATATTAACTGATTTTTTTTAGATTAGATTCATGACTAAACAATAATCATGTTTGAATCATCTTGAGTTATACTTGTATGTGAAACAAAACAGCTTTTATATAAACGTTTTTTTTTTTATTATTACCTTGTGTGGTTTGTGCATTTCAGGTGGCACTGTGTTCGGTGTATGCTGTCTACAAAGATGCTAACACATCAACACTTGAAATTTTATACTAAAACACGTGCAACAGAATAATTTTTATACAGATATTCATGACTAAATAATTATCACATTTGAATCACCTCAAAACTTGTATGAGACACATAACAGATTTGATATAAACGCTTGTTTTGATTATTACCTTATGTAGTTTGAGTGCTACAGGTACCACTAAAGATAACATCTGTGTGTACTCTTTAGCCTGTCAACAAATTATTACAGTGCATCTACTAAGGTGTGACTTGGTTGAGAATTATAGTGGCCAGTGATATGAAATACACTATTATTGAGTGTACTTAGCTAATTTGCATATTAATATCAAATGTCAATCACCTATTATGTGGGTGATTATGCTAATTGTATTATGCTAATTAAGACCCATTGCCTGTCTGTGCCCCAATTCTATAATGCTCTGAGAAGAACATTGCAGCTTTCCTGGCAGCCAGGGATATCAGAATCAGTTTGGCCATTTTAATAGGGAACCCTACAAGTATTTATATCATGAATGGGAATTCCAATCTAACAAGGAAATGAGCACTCAAACAAACACCATGAAATGACACCAGAGTTGGCAAGAATCCAGCTGCTACAGTACTACAGTACATTGTGTAAATGGTAACTTTGGACATGATGTAATGCTGCTTCAATACTAGCAAGCAAGGCAGGAAACATTGTACTTGTCACATATGTGATTACTACACTTATTTAATCAACAGATCTAGGAGAGTATATTAATAAAATCAGGTTATTATCATCAGCAGTATAAAAGTCTTTATTCTGTCAACTTATTTTTATGTCTAAAATTTAGTACCCTACATGTATATCGTGAAAATTGCACTGGCCAAAATTGAACTTCATAGAGATTGATAAGATTCCTTCAAAAATGATCAGATAAAAATTGTTTGACATGTTTTCTAAGGTCTATGGTTAGTGTAATTACAAAAACATTTTTTACGGCAGAGTCATTGATGACAACAACACGACAAACATTTTCCCCTCATAAACCTTGCCTTTCATTTATGATGATACAGATGAGGTAATAAAAACACAACACTTCAGATTTATAAGTCAGTTTCAGAATGGAATAACATTCAACAATAACCTCTATACTTACCTCTTCTATGTATGGCACAGGGACTGACCCAGTCCTGTTTGATGTCAGGCTCTTCATGGTCCACCAATTTTCTTCATCTTTGTTCAGCAATAATAGAATGTCATTTTTTTTAAACGGCAAGTCGTCTGGATCCTGTTGAACCAGGAAGCACAGTCATTAAACAACAAGCCATGCATGACACAGTCCCACCCATGTAATGTTATCAAACTTAAGATATATCGTTTTGTTTATAGTAATATAGTTGGAACATAAACATGTCAGAAGTATGGATCCAGATGATGATGCTTGATTATGATGATTTTTTAACATTAAAATGATTGATATCGTGTATCTGATCGTCAAACGAGTAATTATCCATATTGAGAAATGTTGCTCTGGAACAGTATTATTAAAAACAAAATGGCCACCGGTCAGCCATTTTAAATACATATACATATCTATAACATGATGTAAAACAAATGTATAAAATTTGAACATAATCGATCAAAACATGGCAGAGATATGGCACTAGAACTGCATTCATTAAAACAAAATGGCTGCCAGTCAGCCATTTTAAATCTGACCTGAAAATTAAAATGACGTGCATCAAGGTTCTATAATGCCCAATGTATGTACCAAGTTTGAACGAAGTCCATTCATAAATGGTTGATTTTGATGATTTTTTAGCACAAAAATGGCCACCATGCGGCCATCTTGAATCAGATTATGAAACATATTGACGTGTATATGTATAAATATTATGTATGATGTATGTGTGAAGTTTGATTGTGCACACACACGCGCACACACACATGGACGCACAAGGATCAAAACTTTGCCCGAACAGGGACTAAAAAAACATAGAAAACTGCAATGTTTTTTTTTTCATTGACCAAGAAAGCTGATCACTGCCTATGGAATACCACGATACTATATGTGAAAAACTGGGTTACATAAAATTACGACAGTATTTGTGATAATAAACTGTTTTAGGTAGAATATGTAGCTAATTCTTAGAAAGTGGGTGTTGGCAATGAAGCTGAATCAAGATTCAGGCATTGAATAAAACACATTAAAAAAGCATGTAAGAAACTAAAAGTAGTCTACTTTATAACCATAAGAAATATCACAAAGATACTAAACCACAATAATCTTACTCCTTGTCATCAAATTAAAGTAGACAAGGCTACCAACTGAATACGAAATGGGACTTCTGCCTACAGGCATGTATAGTGAGAATGAGTATTAAGAAGAATCCAGAAGAATTGGACATGCATTTGGCTTAAACAGGAGTTTGTAATTTCAGATAATTTCTGGCTTGACGAAAGGCTACGCTCCCTAATATCTATTTTGCAGAGTAAAGATATACTGCAATACATCGATAGCTCAAC